TATATGGTGCCACTGTTTTAGAATGAGGCTGGCATCGGGGTGGGGGTAAGACTGAGAAAAACTGGATGAAATATGTTTATGGCACTGAAGTCTATCGGGGAGAGAATAGTTTTAAAAGTATTTTAGGGCATTATGTTTATTGTAGGAGTACGCAATGAGGGTTGCAGAGTGGATTATATTTGGGGTTGCGGGTAGGATTGGGGGAGGTGCGGGAGGGAGGAATTGTGTACCAATAAGGGAGAGGAGCAAACGGGGGGGGGGGGGGGTGAGGGGGGGGGGGCGGGGAGAAGGGTGCAACAATGAATGAATGGAATTAAAAAAAAAATTAGAATCATAATTTTAGAGCTATCAAGGAGATCATGCAGATTAGTCTATTTCTCTTAATTTATATATGAGAAATGCCCAGAGATTTTAAACATTTTTAAGAACCTTCATGATAGATTGACATTGTGGCTGCAGCTTTGGGATCAAGTATATCAGAGATGGTAAGGATGGGACAGGGCAGGACAGAATTTAGGTATCTTTCCCAGGGTCACTAGGAGTCACATTTGACCCAGCAGGATTTAACAATAGCAACATGACATTTATTCTTTACTTAGTCCTCTACAGTATTTTAAATGCCTCTTTTTGTTCTTTAGAGAAATAGAAAAATAGTTGATTTGAATGTCAGCAAAGTAGTTGAAGATGCCAAAAGAACATGATTGTTGCAAAACACTGTAGTCATTTTAACTATACTATTAAGTGTCCTCATTTTTTGAAGGCCAACATTAAATGTTGAGCAACTAATACAAAATTACATATTTTAATTAAAATATGCTATTCTTTCAACTTTGACATTACCTGTATTTATCTGTATCCAAATTTGGAATGCAAAATTGTTTTGAAAAGCAAAAAGCCTTATATATGAAGTATTGACATTTTAAATCTTAATACTCTTTTGATACCAATTCCTGACAGCATAAAATCTAATACTTTAATAATTTTATCATATAAAACTTGGAGCTTATTATTGTACTCTGAAAACTCATTGTTGAGCTGGAACCAACTTATAGCAGACCTTCCAGTTTTTAGGGGCTGTGAATAGGAGAGGAGATTGCCCATCATTCTCCCTCAGAGCCGCTGAGGTGGATGCGAACTGTCAAAGAGGCACCACCCTTTAGGTTAGTACCACAACTCACAACAGAGTATGTCACCACAGCATCTCTAGTTTGGTACACATGGTTCTTTTTAAAGATATATAAAAAGTACTTTTTAAAGTATTTTAAAAGAGGTCACTTCCTGTTAAGAGATGAGAACAAAGTACATGTTAATAGAAATTCTGAACTCTGGGTTACGTTTTTTATGATGATTGTATAATAGAACAATGAAAGTGCATTCTTAAGTAGGGTATAACACAATCTCTTCTCTCTGCATTCTGCTATTTGTCTTTTTTTGGTACTGATACATACATATCTATATAAATGTGTGTTATATACATACCTTGTGCAATGTAATTATCTGTTGGGCTATCATCTGTAGTTTTAGCACATATACCATGTTCTTCTAAAAGGAAAACAAATGTGAATAACAAAATATGGAAATGACATTTAAGCAATAATTCAAAATATAAATTAATGTGTATGACATTTCAGAAGACATATCACACTCAGGAAATCTGTAGTCAGAACTTCTCCAAATTATTGAGGAGCAATGATGTCAGTTTGAAGGCTAAGGTGCATCCAATTCAGGCCATGGCCTTTTCAATGACTTGCTATGTGTCTGACAGCTGGACAGTTAATAAGGATGGCAGAAGAAGAACTGAAGCCTCTGAACTGTGATGTTGGAGAAGAGTCTGAAGATCTCATGGATAGCCAAAAGAACAAGCAGGTATGTCTTAGAGAAGGTGCAGCCAGAGTGTTCCTTATAGACAAAGAGTATGTGAGCTTCGTCTCACATACTCTGGGCTAGGAGAGGTTATTCCTTGGAGAGAGACATCATGCTTGGGAAGGTTGAGGGACAATGAAGGAAAAGGCAGAACCTCAGCCAGGTGGACTGACACAGTGACCACGACAATGAGCTTGAGGGTGTTGAAGACTGTGAGGACAGCATAGGATAGGACAGGGCTCAGATCGGTTGTTCATAGGGTCACTTGACTCATAGGGTTGAGTATGACTGTGTTGCCCATAGTCAGACTTAACTGCAAGGTACCTAATAGTAATAACTTAGATGCAAATATAAGATTGTATGACCAAAAGAGGCTACAAGAAAAACTTAAAACCTTATAAAACTTAAAACCTAATGTAGCAGCTTCCTCTGAGAAAATGACTTCATAGATACTTATAGAAAAGCTAGACTATATAACAGGCCCATCTCTCCATCAACAGCAGAAAAAGACTACAAAAGTCCATTTATGCTAAAGAGAAAATAGAGAAGAAGACGTTTTACTGGGTAATACAGGCACATTTTCTTTCATGTCTTAAATAGGCATTACCAAAATTTATGACTATTCTTAGAAGTATGTAATTTCTTTCTTTCTCTAGAAAGCAGATAAAGGGTAATAAATCAGCAAAGGGCTTTAAGGTTTTCTTATTAATTCTGTAAAATAAAAGTTACTTTTAGAAATTAATTGCTTATTTTAGGTTCAGGAGTATAAACTTACAATAGTTCTTGCCTAATCTTCACAATCTTCTGGGTTTAAGCCTATTGTAGTCATTGTGTCAGTCTCACAGAGATTGCTTTTTCAAGTATGTCTTTTTTCCAAAAACAGAATGGTCACAATATGTGAAATAAAGTTTCACCTTCCTTGCTTCTAAGGAGGACCCTGGTTGCACTTCCTCTAAAACAGATTTGTCTGTGTATTAAATTGGGTGTTCTGGTGGCATAGTCATGAAGAGTTACATTGGGTACTCAAAAGTATATGGTTCAAATCCACCACTGCTCTGCAGGAGAGAGATGGGCAATCTCTTCTTGTGTGATTAACTGCCTCTGAAAATTCAATGGAAGGTCAACTCTGCAGTACATGGCAATTACTCTTCCCTAATACAATTCAAAGGTGTCCTTTTAATGGTTTTCTTTATTCAGTGTATAATTTTCACATGCATATGAAGCAACTGAAAATAATATGACTTGTATCAGGCACACCTTTGTTCTTAAACAGACATCCTTGCACTTTAGAAGTCTTTGGCAACAGATACATCCAATACAATTCATAGTTGACTGCTGCTTCCATGGGTATTGGTTATGGATCCAAGTAAAATAAAATCCTTGACAATTTAGATCTTAATCTCCATTTATCATAAAGTTACCTACTGATAAAGTTGTGAAGATTTTTATTTTATGTTGTGGTATAATCCATATTGAAAGCTGTAGTATCTGACCTTTGGTAAGTGCTTCAAGTTCTAAGCTTTCCACAAGTGAGGTTGTCTTATCTGCTTATCAAAGCTTGACAATGAGTCTTGACGCTACACTCTTCTTCATCTAGTCTTGTTTCTCAAATTATTTTTTTCAGGATACAGACTAAGTATGGTGAGAGGATGCAACTCTGACCCACGCTTTTTCCTGATTTTAAACCATGCAGTGTTCCTTGTTCTGTTTGAACAAATGCTTATTTGTCCATGTACATGCTTTATATGGGCATAATTCAGCATCCTGGCATCCCCATTCTTTTCAGTGTTAGCCATAATCCATTATGGTCTACAAAGTGGAATGCTGTTGCATAATGAAGTCAATAAAACGCAAGTAAACATTTTTTCTGATATTCTCTGCTTTTAGCCAAATCCATCTGACATCAACAGTGATAACTGTTTGCCCCTGCCTCTTCTGAATCCAGCTTGAATTTCTGGCAGTTTTCTGTCAATGTACTGCTCTAGCCAATTTTTAATAACTGTCAGAAGATTTTACTTATGATATTGATAATGTCTGACCATAACCATATTCTGCTGGAACACCTTTCTCGGGGGAATGGGCACAAACCTGGATCTCTTGTCAGCTGGTTGGCCAGGTAGCTGTCTTCCAAATTTCTTGGATTGGAGAGTGGGCACATACAGAATTACATTTGGTTGCTACTATAGGTTTATTTCCCTCCCAAGGCCTTTAGTGAAGCCAGGTTTCTCTCTTCAGTACTTTAGGTTAGTACCACAACAACTGGCTCTTGATCATATGCCAATTCCTGAAATATTCTGTGCCGACTAATTCTTTTTGGTACTATGACTTTGAATATTCCTTCATCATCTTTTGGTAACTTTTGCTTCATGCATATTTGATATTTTTTTCCTTGAATCCTTTGGTACTGCAACTCTAGGTTTAAATCTGGTCTTCAGTCATTTTGGCCTGAAAAATGCTGAATTTGGATTTATTTAAAATATATAATAAATATACAACATTGGTTTTTATTATAAAATAAAATGGAAATAAGAAAGGATATAGTATTTTTGCTAATTCCTTTTTAATCTAGTGTTTACCTTGCTTGTTGAGATTTGAAGATGTATGAACTGAAAATTGACTTTGAGGAGTGCACTCTGATTCAAAGATTAAGGTTTTTATTAAGGTCTGAATGTCATCTAAACCATGGTGAAGAGATGCACATAGCATTCTTTTGAGGAATCCAGTATTAAAAAGAGAACTTGACCTGAAAAAAAAATGACACTGAGAATTAGTGTGAGAAATGTTTAGTTGGGGGAAAAACCAAAGTCTACATAATTTAACAAGTAAGACAGATAGGTAACCAAGAAACAAGCCCACTGCTGCCAAGTCAATTCTGACTCAACACTGGCTTTCTGAGGCTGCAGTCATAATAGGAGAAGAACGCCTTGTGTTTCTTCCACATAGTGCCGGGGAGTTTCAAGCTGTTGATGTTTTGCTTAGCAGGCCAAAACGTAACCTATCATGATAGCAGGGTTATTTTTAAGACAAGAAAGATGCAGTAAAGACTGAAACTCAGAGAATTTATTACATATTTTTAAATTATTTTCAGTTTGCTATCTTTTTTTTTCTTTTTTAAATTAAAAAGCATAGCTCAGTTCTCTAAATATTGTGCTTGGGCAAGGAAATCAATGAACAAGAACGGCAACCTTTCATAAGGTGTATAGCACTGTAGTATACAGCAATTAGTGAGAGACTAATGTATGATGGGCTGAAGGGAATTTAGGGATTATTTTGAATTGAAACACACAGAATGAACTCAAGAGGAAGCAGAGTATGAACTGGGGTTGGAGGCAGGCAGAAGGTATTCTAGGTGACAGTAAAGGCTATCTGTAAGGAAATAAGTGACGGCTCAGAATTTAGTCCTGAAGTCAAAAGTTAGAAAACCTCAGTTCCAACTTCGGATATGCCATTAAATGAAACTTTTTTTTTTTGCCAGTTGTAGCAAACACTTAAAAGCTCTGAGCTACAATTTGTCATCTGTAAAAAAGGAAGTTGAACTAGACAGTCCCTCTGAAGCCAGTCAATTTGTAATTACTCTGAGATCAGTGAGTAGGATCAATTTGTAAAAAATGATACAGGTTGGTAGGGAGGAAAAAGATGATATAGGTAAGGGAAATATTAGAAGATAAAAGGTCATATTTTAAAAAGCTAGTATTTTTTAAAATAAAAAGTGCAAAAATCAATGAGGAACAGAACATCAATTTAAAAAATAAAGACAAAAAGGAATGTGTGTGAAACCATATTGGAGCTACAGGTGAAACAATCCATCAGTTTATTTTTGGGTTTTTTCCATGATTTATTATTTTATTACATATTTAATTAAAGAAAACTCCAAAGCTCATAGATGCCTCAATCTTTGTCAGTTTTAAGTTCTTCCCTTTTATTCATTCTCTCCTTACTACTTTAACACTTCGTGGTCCAAGACATTTCTCAGACATTTTTTTCCTCTATTTTAGGGCTACGCTCTTCTGAGTCTGCTCTTGGTTACAGAGCTCCCTGACTCCCCTTGCTTGCTTCCCTCCTGCTCTCCTCACTTATACTTTCTGCCTCATGGAGGCGGCTCCCTGCGGAACCATACCAGCTTTTACACACCTCCCTGTTTTCTTCTCAGGCTTTTATAACTTTACAGGCAGAATTCTATTCCTGAAAATTCTGCCTCCCTCTCTAGGCGATCTCATTTCACCTTGGCACATATTTTTGCCTTCTAACTTTGCTTCAGGCTTTTTAAAAAAAAAGTGGTAAATATATATCTCATACATAAAATTCATCACTTTGGTAATTTTAAGTTTACAATTCAGTGACATTCATTATATTAAAAATGTTGTACAATCACCACCACTATGGAGTTCCCCAACTCTCTCATCACCTCAAACAAATCTCTAGAATTTCCCTTCTTCCCCTTTTCCAGTAGTTGTTAATTAAGTTTGTGTTTTATGTACAGGCAGTCCTTGAACTATGAACATCAGAGAACAATCTACCATTTAATTTAACCTCTCTCTGAAGTGAACCAACTCACCCCTGGGGAAAAATTCTTCATCACAATCACCTGCAGTTGTTCCCTATGTAGCTTTTAAAATAAAGGTTTTGAGCTTTTTCTTACATTTGTAGTTGTTGTTAAGTGCCGTCGAGTCACAGGCAACTCAGCGACCCTATGAAGGAGAGTCCTCGATGCTTGGGGTGCCTTTCATCCTCTCTCCGGGTTCACAGGGTTTCCAGAGGCAAGCTATTATGGAAGTGGATGCCACTCCTCCTTCCAAGCTTTTTTACATTTAAGCAGGGTTAAATAAGAACCGTATGCACCATTTCTGACTGATTAAGAATTCTTAAAGACAAAGAATTAGATATAATTTGTTTGTTTTTTTTTTAGAATTGGATATAATTTGTAAACCCCAAATGCCTTGTATTTAGCTACTCTAGGTATTTATTTTTCTTTTTAAATTATTTTATTATTTTTTGTGTGTGTACTGTAAATCAGATCTGACTGGTACAGGAGGAGATTGTCCCTCCTTTCCCGGCAGAGCATCTGGTGGATTCGAACCGTGTACCTCTGGGATTGCAGTGCAGCTTCTTGCCACTAGGCCACCAGAGCTCCCCTACTCTAGGTATTTCAAGTAAATACGATGAAATAATCTTTATTATTTTGTGTCTGACTTATGGAAGATGGAAGGAGTATACAGAGTCAATGTACCAAAAAGAATTGGCTGACAAAGAATTTCAAGAAACATATGATCAAGAGGCAATGGTGATGAAGGAGAAAGTTCAGCCTGCTCTGAAGAACTTGTAAAAAAATAAAGCCCAGGTATTGGGCTAACAGTTGACATATTTCAACAAACAGATGCTGCCCTAGATGTGCTCGTCAGGTTGTGCCAAGAAATCTGCAGAACAACTACTTGGCCAACTAACTGGAAGAGATACAGATTTACTCTCATTCCAAAAAAAAGGTGACTCGACAGAGTGGAAATTATAGAACAATATCACTATTAACACACACTAGCAAAACTTGCTTAAGATTATCCAGAAAAGACTTGAATAGTACACTGACAGAGAACTACCAGAAATATAACCTGGTCATGGCACTGGAGACATTACTGCCAATGTCAGAAGGATCTTGGCAGAGAGCAGAGAGAACCAGAAGAATGTGTTTCATTGACTTTGCAAAGTCATTTTACTGTATGTATCACACCAAATTGTGGCTAATGCTGAGGAAAATGGGAATCCAGAATACTCGATTGTGCTTATGCAACACTTATACTTGGATTAGGAGGCAGTCGTCAGAACACAGCAAGGAAACACTGCATGGTTCAAAATTGGGAAGGGTGTATGTCAAGGATGTGTCCTATCTCCATACCTTTTCAATCTATTCAATCTATATGCAGAACAGATTGTTCGGGAAGCTGGGTTTTATGAGGAAGAATGTGGCATCAGGATTGGAGGAACACTTATCAACAACCTATGTTATGTATATGATATAACCTTGCTTGCTGAAACTGAAGAGGCCCTGAAGCACTTGCTGCAGAAGGTCAAGGACTGTAGTCTTCAATATGGATTGAAGCTCAACATCAAGAAGACAAAGATTCTCACCACTGGGCCAACTGGCAGCACCATGATAGAGAAGAGAATGAGGATATTAACAATTACTGCTTGTTCGGCTCCAAAATCAACACTCTTAGCACCAACAGTCAGGAAATCAAAAGATGAAATGCACTGGGCAAATCTGCTGTCAAGGATCCATCCAGAATACTGAAAAGCAACAATGTCAGTCTAGAGACTAAGGTGCACTTAATTCAGGCCATCGTCTTCACAATTACTTGCTACACATCAGAGAGCTGGACAATGACTAAGGATGTCAGAAAAATCGATGCCTTTGAATTGAGGTGCTGGAGAAGAGTCTTTGAACATACCATGGAAAGAAAACAAGTAGGTCTGCCTTGGAGAGGGCAAAACAAGTTTCTCCTTGTAGGCTAGGATTTTGAAGCTCCATTTTAAATACTTTGGGCAGGTGGCCAGGAGGGACTGATCCGTGGTGAAGGACATCATTCTCAGAAGGGTGGAGCGTCAGGGCAGGAGAGGAAGACCCTGATGAGAAAGACTGATACAGTAACTGGGGCAATGGGGGTAGATGTGTCAGAATCAGTGAGACTGGCTCAGGACAGGGCAGGCTTCAGAGCTGTTGTAATGGGGTCACTATGAGTGGTGGGCAACTTAACATCATGTAACAACATAGGAATATATAAGGGATCTCTAGTGGCCTAGTGGCAAGAAGCGATGCTACAATCCCGAAGGCACACAGTTCAAATCTACCAGCTGTTCCAGGGAAGAAAAATGGGCATTCTCCTCCCTTGGAATTAACTGTTTACGAAAACCCCCTGGAGGGTCAGCTATGAGCTGGTTTCAACTCAAGGTAACCAACCAACACAACATATGAATATACATGGTTTGCTTCGTAATTACTCTGTAGAGGGATACTTCTTTCATGATAGTTTGTTTCCAAATTCTGGCTATTATGAGTTATGCTGCGATGAACACTGATGTACAAGTATTCTGAGTGTCAATATTCTGTGTACACAGACCTAAGAGTCAAATTGCTGATTACAATGCTAATTTTATATTTTACTTTCTGAAAAACGTCAATGCTGTTGAGTCCATTCTGACATGTGAGAACCGTCTTTGGCTTTCTGAAGTTGTAAATCTTTATTGGAAGAGACTGCCCATCTTTCTCCCCTAGAGTAAGTAGATGGTGGATTTGAACCCCTACCTTTTGGTTCACAGTGTAATATGTAACAAACACTACACGACCAAAGTTCTAGCAAACTTTTCCCACAGCACATGTGTTATTTCACACTGCCATTAATAATAATAATAATAATAATAATAATAATAATAGTGTCAATTTCTCTTATCATATACTAACAGTTGTCTTTTATTTATTGATAATAACCATCCTAATCAGTCTGCGTCAGGATTGGTGGAAGATCTATTAACAATCTGCGTTATGCAGATGACACAACCCTGCTTGCTGAACTGAGGAGTACCTGAAATGCTGCAGATGGTCAAGAACTGCAGCCTTCATTATGGACTGAGGCTCAATGACAAGAAGACAAAGATTCTCACCACTGGACCAACTGGCAGCATCAGGATGGATGGTGAAGAGATTAAGATTGCTAACAACTTTAGTTGGCTTGGCTCCACGGTCAACACTCTTGGCACCAGTAGCCAGGAAATTAAAAGGCGCATTGCCATGGGAAAGTCTGCTGTTAGGGACCTCTCCAAAGTACTGAAGAGCAATGGTGTCTCTCTGGAGACTAAGGTGTGTCTGATAACAGGCTATGGTCTTTGCAATCACTTGTTATGCATCAGAGAGTTGGACAATGACTAGGAAGGATAGAAGAAGAGTTGATGCCTTTGAGCTGTGGTGCTGGAGAAGAGTACTGAATGTACCATGGACTGCCAAGAAAACAGATTCATCCTAGAGAGGGTTAAACCAGGCTGCTCCTTGGAGGCAAAGATTCTGGGGCTTCATCTGACATACTTTGGACATGTTGTAAGGAGGGGACAGGTCCTTGAAGAGGGACATCATACTTGGGATGGTGGAGGGACAGTGCAGGAGGGGAAGACGCTCTATGAGGTGGATTGATTCAGTGACTGGGGTAATCGGGATGGGTGTGTCAGAGGCAATGAGATTGGCACAGGACAGAGCAGGGTTTAGGGCTGTTGTACATAGGGTCGCTATGAGTCGTAAGTGACTCGATGACACATAACAACAACAATGGGTGTGAAGTGGTACTTTATGATGGTTTTGATATGCATTTTAAAATGACTAAGGATGCAGAACATTTTCTCTTTTATTAGTTTAGCCATTTGTGTATATGTATTTGCAATAAAAATTTCTCTATGCTTTTTCATTGCTGTTAATTTGGAATTGACTCATAGCTGATCCTCCAAAAGGTTTCTAAGGCTGTAAATTGCAAAGAAAGAGATTGCTCCTCTCCTGTTGAGTGGCTACTGGATTCAGACCACCATGGAAGTGCTGCCTTTGGGTTAGCGGCACAACTATCTGTAGACAGTGGTGTTTTGAGTACTATCGAGTTAGAGCCAACACATAGCTGACCCTCTAATAGGTTTAAGACGAAGTAAATGGGAGGAGACTGCTCATCTTTCTCCCACTGAGAAGCTGGTGGATGGAATCATGTGCCTGTGTGTTGCAGCACAACTCCTTACCTCTCAGCGACCAGTGTTCCTACAGACATACTTATATATGTCTACCTACAGCTATATCTGTGCATAATTTTTTTTAAAAGAATAATCTATTAAAATAATTTGCCCATTACAAATTTTGTTGTTTAGTTGTAGGATTTCTTCATATATACTAAATTATGAACTTAATGGATTCCAAATATTTTCACCTCTACAGGTGAAGGTCTGTAGCTTGCCTTTGTTAAGTTTTATCTTGCTAAGCTATTCCTGTCCTAAGGATGTGCTAAAAATAATGATGTGATAGCCTTCATACAAAGATATTTATCAGTTGGATGAATTTTTAGATTTAGTAAGTGACTAAATCTCCACCTGGAGAAGTAACAAGGTAGACATTTGCAATGATTCTTGTCATAAAGTTGTTAGCAATCTCAAATTTCTTAGATATCTCTGGAAATAAACAAGATTCTGATTAAAACTTAACAAAATTTAAAGTACAGAATGCTCCTAATTATTAAATTATTAGGTTAAAAACACACAGAGATGAAATATTTGCCCTTGTGCCATATCTAAGCTGCTTTACCTAAAATAAAACTCAAACTCACTGCCATGCAGCCACTTCTACTCAGTAACCCATCATCAGGGTTCCAAAGCTTTCAACTGCAACAAGAGACAGACCATCTTTCTGCAAAGATACTGCTGATAAAATTGAAACTGGCAAAGATATGCAGCCTCTGGGTTAGCAGCACAACTTGACACAGACTATACAACCAGAGCTTCCTACCTAAAACAAACTGCTCACAGACCTTCAAAATTATTTAGCAATTCCATAAAAAGTCACCCTGACCACATTATAATACTTTCACCCTCTACTATAAGTAAAAACTGACTTATTGCTTATCCTCCAGCAGGTTTTCATATATTGTAAATAGCAAGCGAAGAGACTGCTCATCTTTCTTCCAAAGAGCAGCTGGTCGATTGGTAGTACAACTCCTTAACCACTAGAACACCACAGCTCTCCTTTCACATGAGTTCTGCAATTATCAACAACAAAAAAAGCCTCATTCTTATTTAGAAATCAATTATCTACTTTGCAGATTAGCTGGCCTTCTCTTTTATCTCAGTGATTCTTAGCAGTGTTATGTAATAGTATAGAAAAACCTTGAATTTACTGGGGGGAGAAGAACCATAACAATTTGCCCATACTTAGCAAAACTGTATCTCCACTTTAAAAAGGATCACAGCAAATCTCAGATAGGCTGACTGACCAATGTGGCATACAATTTAAAACCAGAAAGTAGCCAGTTTACTGGTCTAAAAGACTGATGGAACCCACTAGAACTATATCCCTCACATACCCTTTGAACATGGAACAAAACTTCCTTCTTTGGCTTAACTTTCAACCCTACAATAGATGGGCTTCTCAGGTGAACAATAACACAAGGGAGACACATACTTCCTAGAATAATCATTGACCATGTAAGTTCAAAACCTTTTTAAAAGTTTAATCCAAATTTACTTTTTACCATAGTGGGAAGCTCTGTTGGCCTAGCCTGTAAAGAGTTGCATTTGCTATCTGAGGTGGTGGTACCTCTCGGCAGTGTGAATACACCAGCAGCTCTGAGAGAGAAAGATGGGCAATTTTCTTTTGTGTAGTGAGTCAGATCTTTTCAACAGCATTGAAGGTTTGGGATTTGTTTTTTTTTAGATTATTACAATTAATTAAAAATTAGCACTAAGTAAAGCAAATAAATTATAAATTTTGAACAAATTGTTACAGTTAAGTACATACCAAAGAGGTCCAAGTTCTATTGCTGTCTTTCCAGGCATGCTTCCATGACAGTTACAAGGTAGCTGTCTATATGGGTTTTCTGCAAAAAGATAGTAAAAAGAAAATTCAAGGAAGAAATGACTAATAATATTAATAGTAACTGTCATATTAATGGCAATTTGTAGCTACTATATACTGAGGATCTACTATATGCCAGGTATTGTGATAAACATTTTATATACATTTAAAAATGTTATTATTTTAACTCTCTGAAGTAGGTACTGATAACATTTTATTCATACATATCAGAAGATTACAGTTTAAGACTGGTTGTGGATATCTATGTCGAACAGTTCATTATTGGCATTAACTGATGATAGCTTTTCATCACTAAACTACATGAAATAATTGAATTAGCAGCAAATCCTATATAACGTGCACAACGAATTCAGTTATTTACAATAAAGTTGATTGTAGTATTATTTACATACAGCTTAATAATGTTTTATGTGAACAAGTTGATGCATTTCAACAAATACATACATCCATGTAATTTTCATCTCTATCAAAACAAACATTTACATTGCTTTAAAAGGTTCCCGCGTACTCTTTTCCTAGGTAATTTCGAACCTCACCGCCCCTAAGCCTCAACCTAGATAACCAAAAGATTTACTTTCCTTTACATCAAACCATTTCACATAAATGAAATCATACAGCATGCACTATTTTGTGTTTGACTCTTTTAACTCAATATTTTTTTAGATTTACTAATTTTGTTTTGCTTATCAGTAGTTTAAGAAGCCTCAGTAGTGGCTTAAGGTTAAGCACTAAAGCTAATGAAAGGTCAACAGTTTGAACCTATCAGCCACTCCAGAGGAAAAAGATGAGGCAGCTGCTCCCACAAAGATTGGAGCCTGGGATACTCTATGAAACAGTTCTACAAAGTCCTATAAGGTCACTATGAGTTGGAATGAACTCAATATTGGGCAGTTGGTTTTACTTTTACCAGTAATTTACTCAGCTGAAGAGCTAATACAATGAGACAATAATATTCTTTTTGGTTTCTAAAACAACAATATTCTATGTTACTTGCCAGTTTATACAAAGTCCATTCAGTCATTTAAAATCTAACCTCTCCAAATAACTTCTCTCAGTCTAGGCTAATCCTGGATTGAACACTCCCTTTCTTGGTATGATCTGAACTAATCAGGAAATCCCAGATCTACCAGAATTCAGCATGATGGTAGTAAAATGTCATAAATGTAGTAAAACAGGTCTATGATTTCTTGTTATTTGGTAATATCACTCTGTTACTCAATGTAATTAAATAGTATAATTAGACAACTGTGGGATCTTATTTTAGATTGTCTTCTTAAAATCTTCCTGTTTTACTTACTCCTGGTCTGCTTTTCATATTATTTAACTGTGTTAAATGGAAGAGTTTGGTTATCACTGAGATATGTAATCGCTAACTTATGATATATTCAAGACAAACCAGACCTAATTAATAATATGAACCACATACAATGTGTAATTGGCTAATGTTATTATTTCCATAGGCTTATTCACAGATGTTAAAAACTGCACTTACGAAATGGTGAAAATTTAAGGCAATGATAATAAAAATAAAAAATTTAAAAAAGGTATTTGACTTAGGATAGAGTTGCTATAATGTAACCCAGTGAGAATTTATGGACAATCTCTCAGTTTGTTGAGAAGTCTGTTCTTCAACTAATACACACCAGTATAAACAAGAAGACTTTCCTTGAACCATTGAATAGCTACAGTACAAATACTTCTAGGCAGTCACTATCCAGGTCAGGGTACCTGATATTTGTTTTTGGGTCTGCCAGTTACATCCACTTAAGAAAGGTAGGCAGGATACATCATCTTTTATTAGTCAGTTGTATTCTGATGAACTTTGTAAAATACTCCCATATCTTTAACCAAGCCTCTTTGTTAGGATATCTAAGACCTGGATAGGCTTTAGTAAATTATTTCTCTGAAGTATCAAGGTGTTCATTTCAACCTAATTGCAGCAAAGAAAAAAAGGTAGAGGAGGTGGGGGGGGAAAGTGAATACTCAAAACAATTAACAATAATTAAGAAAGAAGGGAGCATCTACAACCAGGAGAGGATAAAATAGATGAATGGGACATTCTAAGAATCAAATCCTTATGCACATCCAAAAACTTCTCCAACAGGATTAAAAAGGGAAGCCACAGACTGGGAAAAAATATTTGGTAATAACATGTCAGATAAGGGACTTATATGTAGAATTTATAAAATACTCGAGCACCACAAAAAGATAAACCACCCAATTGAAAAATGGGCACAGGATATGAAAAGACACTTCACCAAAGAAGACATACAGATGGTAAACAAACACATGAAGAAATGTTCAAAATCCCTAGCTCTAAGAGAGATGCAAATAACAACTATGAGATACCATCTCACCCCAGTAAGAATAGCAAAATTTAACAGAACAGCAAACATCAAATGCTGGCGAGGTTGTGGAGAAATTGGAACCTGTATTCACTCTTGGTGAGAATGTAAAACGGTATAGCCAGTATGGAAGGCAGTATGGCACTTTCTTAAAAAGTTGCAAATAGAAATACCATTTGACTCTGCAGTTCTACTACTTGGAATATACCCTAAAGAAACCAGAACTACCACCCAAGCAGATATATGCACACCCATGTTTGTTCACAATAGCAAGGAGTTGGAAACAACCTAAGTGCCCATCAACAAACGAATGGATAGATAAGCTGTGGTATAGTCACACAATGGACTACTATACTGCATTGAAAAACAAGGAACTCATGAAATATTTTTCAAAATGGAAAACCCTGGAGGACATTATGCTGCGTGAAATATCTCAATCACAAACGGACAAATACTGCATAGTGCCACTGTTGTAAAACAAGACTGACATCGGGGTGGGGTGGGGGAGACTGAGAAAAATGGGATAAATTATGTATACTGGAAAAAATGGGATAAATTATGTATACTGGATTGAAACAGATGGGAGAGAGAACTGTTTAAAAGGTATATATGATTAGGTATTATTGTCATGACATGACTCCAGAATGAAGGCTGCATAGTAGAGTAGATCTGGGGGGAGGGATTGTAAAACAATGAAAGAATTTTACTTTTCAGAGAGAAGAACGAACTGGAGGGGAGGGGTGGGCAGGGAGAAAAGTGCAACAATGAATGAATGGAAATCCAAAATCTCTCTAAATTTTCATTAATAATAATAAAATTACGGGAAAAAAAAGAAAGAAGCAAGCTCTGGTGGCCTACTGGCAAGAAGCTGTTTCCGAAGGCAGTTTGAATCCATCAGATGCTCTACTGGAAAAGGAGGAGCAATCTCCTCCTGCGCAAGTGGATCCAATTCCTGATTCGAAGACACACAACAATTAAAAAAAATTAAAAAACCAACTAGTATTTCCATGTCATTAGTATGCAGATTGTGGAGGAATTCCTGTTTAAGAATTAGAAATATTTCCTAGATTTCTATTTAATTGCAGTGGATTAAACCCATGCTTTATTGCTGTAACTTCTTAAAATGTCACTGAAATCAAAGCAAAGAAAAACAAATCAAACTCCAAGGATAAGTAATACCAGGGAAGAGGCCACAAAAAATGAGAAATGTCAATAAAATTTTAGAGGTAAGAAATAAGATCCACAAGAGGATACTTGATTTAGCAGACCTGAGAAAGCTAATGCCTAAGATTAAATGATGCAGTTCACAGAGAGTGGTACTGTTATCCCAAAGGCCTCGAGTCTCTGGTAGGTTTCAGAAGGGTAGTTGACAGGATCGCTAAGAGTCGTACTCAACTTTATGGCACCAAACAACAACAACAACAACAACAACAACAACAACAACAACAACAATAACTGCTCACTGTTGTAATGTGCTGCTTAGTTGGAACTAAGTCACAGCTGACCATCAGGTTTTCAGGGGCAGTTTAATTGCACGGGAGATTGCTAATCCTTCTCCAACAGAGCTAGTGGATTAGAACCATGTACCTTTGGAATTGCAGCACTGCTGCACTAGGTGACCAGAGTTCTATATACTTAAAAAAATTAGAGTTCTATTGCTACTAAAAGAACCAGACAGGTGTGTCTTCAAGAGGGTGCAGCCAGAGTGGAGAGCAAAGATGATAAAAATTTGTCTCACATATTGTAGGCATGTTGCTAGGAGAGGTCAATTCCTTAGACATGCTTTTCATGCTTTGAAAGAAAGAGGAACAGCGAAAGAGAGGAAGACACTCAACCAGGCAGGCTGACACAATGACAGCAGCAATGGGTTTAAGTGTATCAGACTGAGAGGATGGCACAGAATAGGAGAGAGTACAGAATTGTTGTTTACTGAATCATAATGAGTCTTACTAGTACTTGACAGCACCTAACAACGACACTAATCAAATGATCCCATGTACTGAAAAAACGGAAAGTTTCTAACTCCATTGGGAGGGAATTAAGCACTAATACAGCAAAGAACCACCAAAATTAAGCTAAAATGAAAACTACTTCCTATCTCATTTATGAATATGGAAACAAAAAAACCTTTTAAAAAAACCCACAGAGAATCAAGTAACATATTAAAGACTATTTCCTGACAAAGTAGAGTTTGTTCTCAAAAGTCTAGAATGGTTCATTATTGGGAAATTTATTATCATTAATAAAACAATAGGTCTAAGGAGAAAAGCTGCATAATTATCTCCAGAGATGCTGAAAAGATGTATGACAGAATTAAACACCTTGAAAAAAAAATAATGAAAACTGCTTCCTTAACAAGATAAATGGTAGGTAGCCTAGATCATAGATACTGGGAAATGAGATGGATTGGCTTGGAACATTTTAAATCAGACAATTATATAATCTACTAAGCTGGAAATGAGAAGGTGGGGAAAACGGGAGTTGCTTTCACAATTATAAAAATCACTTCTAAATCTCTCTTGAAATGTAATATTATGAGCAAAAGGCTAATAATATCCATACACATACAAGAAGTCTGGTGGATACCACTATCATTCAATATATGCAAAGAGGAGGAAACAGATGATTTCTGCCAACTTTTGCAGTCTGAGATTTATTGAACATGTGACCAAGATGCACTAATAATAATGGGTAACTGGAATGCAAAAATTGGGAATAGGGAAGAAAGATGATTAGCTGGAAAACATGGACTTGGTAACAGAAATTAGCCTGGAGATAAAATAGAATTTTGTACAATCAATTATTTATTCATTGCAAAGACCTTTTATAAGAAACAAAGTGACTATATAAATGGAGTTTACCTGATGCATCAGAGGAATCAGATCGACTACATCTGTGGAAAGAATCACTGGAGAAGCTAGTATCAGGCAGAGTGCAGACTGTGGAAAAGATTCATATGCAAATTCAACCTAAAGCTAAAGAAGGTTAAATCAAATCCACGGGAACCAAAATTTCCATCTAAATTTCAAAACCATCTCAGGAACAGTTTTGGGGCCTTGAACACTAATGAGTGAATACCAGATGAGCTGTGGGAAGATATAAAGAATATCATTCAAAAAAATGCAAATGGTCATTATAGAGGCAAGGGAGGAAGAAAAGATCAAGATGGATGTCAGAAAGACTCAATATTGGACTAGAGCATTGAGAAGCCAAAGGAAAGGGAATGAAGCAGGAAGTTAAGGAACTGAACAAAGATATCAAAGGGCAGTACAGGAAGACAAAGCAAAGTTTTATATAGAAATGTGCAAAGAGCCGGAGTCAGAAAATCAAAAGGGCCAAATTCACTGGCATTTCTTAAGCTGGAAGAACAAATTCAAACCTCAAGTTCTAATACTTGAGGATGCTATGGGCAGAATAATGAACGATTCAGGAAGCATTAAAAGAAGATGGAAGGAGTATATGAAATCACTGTACCAAAAAGAACTAGCTGAGCAGATTTCATGAACTAACAAATGATCAAAGGCAATGAAAGAGTAATTTCAAGCTATTGTGGCAAAAAACAAGGCCCCAGGAATTGATGGAATGCCAACTGATGTAATTTAATAAACAGATGCTGCTCTAGACATGTTCACCATATAGTGCCAAGAAATCTGGAAGACCAGGCCAACTGACTGGGAAGAGATCCATATTTACTCTCATTCCAAAAAAAAAGGTGACCCACAGAGTGTGGAAATTATTGAATAATATGACATGCTTATCTAAAAAAGACTGGAACAGTAGACTGATAAATACCAGAAATACAAGCTGATTTTAGAAGAGGTTGTAGCACTAGAGACATTACTGCCAATGTCAGATGGATCTTGGCTGAAAGCAAAGAGAACAAGAGCAATGTCTATGTGTGTTTCATTTACTATGCAAAGGCATTTGACTGTGTGGACCACACCAAATTGTGGCTAACCCAGAGGAGAATGGGAATCCCAGAACACCTGTTTATGCCAGGAAGAGGTCAGAAGTACACAGCAAGGAAACAAGGCATGGTTCAAAATCAAGAAAGGAATGTGTCAGGGATGTGTTCTGTCTCCATACCTTTTCAATCAGTATGCAGAACAGATCCACTCAGGAGGCTGGACTTTATGATGAGGAATGTGGCATCAGAAATGGAGAAAGAATTATCAGCAGCCTGAATAATCAAGATGATACAGCTTTGCTTGTTAAAACTGACAAGGACCTGAAGTGTTGGCTGCACAATGTCACAGACTGTAGTTCTTTAATATGGAATAAACAAAATTAAGCTCAACAATAAGACAAAGAGGTTTTAAATAATTTCAGCTTGTTCAGCCCACAATTATCACTCTTGACACCAGCAGTCAGGTAATCAAAAGATGAATTGCACTGGGGAAGTCAGCTGTCAGAAACCTCTCCAAAGTGTTAAAGAGAAATTATGTCAGTGTAAAGTCTAAGGTGTGCCTGATCCAGGCTAGGTTACTTTCTATGTCTCAGAGAGCTGGACTAAGGAAGACAGAAGAATTAAGCCTTTGAATTGTGGTGCTGAAATAGAGTACTGAACATACCATGGACTGTTAAGAGAACAAACAGGTCTTGCATAGAATGAAACCAAGTTTCTCCTTGGGGCACAGATTTTAAAGTACTGTCTCACATACTTTGGGCACGAGGCAAGGAGGGACCAGTCTTTGGAGAAGGATATCATGCTTGGAAAGGCGGAGAGACAGTACAGGAGAGAAAGAGTCAGTGAGACTGGCTCAGGATAGGGTAGGACTCAGAGCTATTGTACATAAGGTCACTATGAATTGCAGGCAACTTGGTGGCATATAACAACAATGGCAACAATACCCTAGATCAAAAGCCAGTACCATGCTTGAATCCAGAAGCACTAAATGGAATAAAAATAAGGAGTAAGGATGCTTTCTACTACCATTCTTAAATTTGAGGTTTTATTTTTGTTGTGTATTGTCCAAGTACGACTCACAGTGACCCTATGAACAACAGATCTGAACCCTGTCCTATTGTGTGACACTTTTATCTCACACTTGAGCCCACTGCTGCAGTCACCATGTCAATCTATCTTGTTTAGGGTGTTCTTTTCTTTTTCTAATCCTCCACCATTGTGGTCTTAGAAAGTTTAAAAAAACACCAACAATTTCTATCCTTCTTAGTTGAATGTGATTAAAATAGGTGATAACGGAATTCCTTAAAAATGAAAGAAAATAAACCCAGGGAAACTCTGAAAACTAAGAACTTTCAGGAGAGAGAGACTGTCTTACTACATATGAAACAACACTGAAAACCCTTTGTAATAAAAACCAGAATGGTATAGGTATGAATAGACTATTCTATAGAATACATCATGCTTGGGAGGGTGGAGGGACAGCACAGGAGGGGAAGGCCCTCTATGAAGTGGATTGATTCAGTGACTGGGGTGATCGGGATGGGTGTGTCAGAGACAGTGCGACTGGCACAGGACAGAGCAGAGTTTAGGGCTGTTATACATAGGGTCTCTATGAGTGGCAAGCAACTCGACGGCACGTAACAACAACAACAACAACAGACTACTATAAATACTAACCCTTGGAATAGAGTAGAGAATTTGAAAACAAACTAAAATATCAAGAGAATTTTGAAAGTGTCTTCAAGCTACAGACAAAACCTAGATCATAAAAGATTAATTTTGCAACAACACAATGTTTGCATGGCAATTAAAAAAAAGTAGATGTTAACCTAAGTAATAAATCAAGACATTTTAAATTAAAAAAAAATTTGTAACTCATATTACAAGGGCTAAACTCACATATATAAGTAGCTCTGAAATATTTACATAAAAAATACTCAAAAATCTAGTAACAAAGAAATAAGAAATTGTTTGTATTTCCCAGGAATGCAAAGGACAGCTTTTGAAGGATGCCTGGCATATAGTAGAGGCTTAATAAATGTTTACTCAATGAATTTTATAACTGATGGCTTTTATATTCAGACAGAAGCATGAATATTATTTTTAAAAAATTAAATTTATGAATTGAAACAGCACAAAGTAATCTGATTAATGTTCCAAAATTAGTGGTAATAGAAACTAAGTTATTTCTAGATGTCTCAGTAGAGTGCAGGGCTACAGAGAATAAATTGGATAGCATGAATAAATAACTTTAGTAAACTCACACGAATGTCTTGTCTGTTGATGAAAGGAAATCCAGTATAGGAAATAACAAAGTTAGCACTGTAATCTTCAAAATCAAAGGACAATATGTGTAATTAGGGATATGAAAACTTATTCATTAGAGGCTTACACATACAGTTAATAAAATATACAGTAAAAAGAAACTTGAATTTACCTTCCACCATATTACCATCCTTCTGAAAAATTCTCTCTTCACACCACTGGCAATGGATCAGGTATTGAATCTTCTTGGCTGTTTCATCTGCTGAGGTAGGCCCCCTCAAAACTCTCACAACCACCAACACAAAATGTTCAAGGGCCACTGCAAAAAGTACTTCAATGCCTTTGTTACAACGAGCTGCAGCTCTGCAAAATTTTAAAAAAGCGTTTTTTTTTTTTGTTTTTTTTTAAATTTCCTCTGCTATTATGTTAACAATATGAACTAGGAGTAAAGTACAGGTGAGTTATGGAAAATTCTGTTCTTTGTACTAGTGCTTTTAAAAGATTTTAAATGTGACTTCCGCACATGAAAATATGGTAAATAAAGGATGTTTGCTGGGTCATTAGACATGCATGACACTTTGAATGTTCTCAATAGTACTATATTCTCTGGTTTTCATTGTCACTTTGTTTCTTGTTTCACAAATACCTTTTTTCTTCTTAAAGCTTCTTCCAAATGTTTTTATACTTATTGACTACTGAGTACAGGTAGGATAGTAGGTTAGCTAACTACTACACATTCAGTAATAAAGTTCTTGAGAGTATTAATTTAAAAATTTTTTTGACATTCCACTTAATACACTATTTAATACACTAAACTTAGTTCATATACATATGAATTTGCTGTTACAATATATACATTTTAAAGTACAGGTAACAGGTCTTTAGTATGGATAATGAGGAATAAGCCTGAAGGTCTATAAAGTTCAATCAATTATCCTTATTTATGCTGAGGTACGAATGTAAATCTATATACAATGAATCTAATGTTGGAGCTCATGAGTGAGCTGGCTGATTATCCATTAATTGCACTCAATGTGTGCTTAACACATTGTTACCTAACCAACAATTCTCTAAGTACAGTTATTGTTGTTGTTATGTGCCATCGAGTCGTTTGCAACTCATAGTGACCCTAAGTACAAGAGCCCTAAACGCCGTTCTATCCTGTGCCAACCTTGCCATCTAAAACACACTTATTCCCACCGCTCCAGTCACAGAATCGATCCATCTCATTGAAGGTCTTCCTCTCCTTCACCGCCCCAAAATGATGTCCCTCTCCAAGGACCAGTTGTCCAAAGTATGTCAGACAAAGCTTCAGAATCCTTGACTCCAAGGAGCATTCTGGCTTCACCTTCTCCAGGACAAACCTGTTTGTTCTCCTAGTGGTCCATGGTATATTCAACTCTTCTCCAGCACCATAGCTCAAAGGCATCAAATTCTCTTTCTATCAACCCTATTCACTGTCCAACTCTCTGATGCATAGCATGTAATTACGAAGACTATAGCCTGGATCAGGCGCATCTTAGTTTCTAGCCTGATGTCGTTGTTCTTCAGTACTCTTGAGAGGCCCCTCACAGCTGACTTTCCCAATGCAATTCGTCTCTTGATTTCCTGGCTGCTGTTACCAAGAGTGTTGATTGTGGAGCCAAGTAAACTAAAACTGTTAAGTATCTCAATCTCTTCACCATCCATATTGATGCTGCCAACTGGCCCAGTGATGAGAATCTTTGTTTCATTGATGTTGAGCTTCAATCCATATAGGAGGCTACAGTCCTTGACCTTCTGCAACAAGCAGTTCAGGTCCTCCTCAGTTTCAGCAAGCAGGGTTGTGTCATCTGCATAACGCAGGTTGTTGATGACTCTTCCACCAATCCTGATGCCACGTTCCTCCTCATACAAAGTACATTAGGATTTAAAAAAGAGGAAAAAAGTGAGTGCATGTGGGTGTTGCCTCCTGCAAACGGCAATGATTTTCTGAATGTTCAAACAAGATCATAAATCCACGATCTTGTAGATCATAGAGCCAAGTGTTCCTCTTATCTTTTAACATAATATTCCTTCAAATAATGAGTGCTCAAAGTTTTTCTAGACACTTCAACTGTTCACAACTGTAATCTTGATAAGAAATATAGACATTTTTAAGCAATATGTTTGTTTTTGTTTTTTGTTGTTGTTTACTGTTGAATTGGATCCAACTGGCACAGGAGAAGACTGCCTCTCCTTATTCAGTGGAGCATCTGGTGGATTAGAACTGTGTACTTTTGGGATTGCAGTGTATTTTCATGCCATTAGGCCACCAGAGCTCCCTAATCAATTTAATTTTATAGAAACAGGTATGGAATTCAACATTGCAATCTTGTAAATAATAAAGAAATGCACATAAATTATTGTTTTTAAATCTAAGCACACTTTTACCTCTTCCTTTTCATCTTGCATACCCTCCATAATGTTGGAATAAATTGTTTTAAAACTATAATTTTCATTTCTTACTACATAACTTTGTTTTTTTAATTAAGATTTTTTATTCTTTTTAAATTTTTAATGAAAGTTTACAGACTGGATTTCCATTCATTCAATGGTACACTTTCTTCCCAGCCCACCCCCTTCCCCCCAGGTTGCTCTTCTCTGAAAAGTAAAATTCTTTCACTGTTACACAATCCTTCTCCTGCCAAGTTCACTCCACTATGCAGCCTTCATTCTAGACTCTCTTCATTACAATAATACCTAATCATATATCCCTTTTAAAGAGTTTTCTCCCTCATCTGTTTCAATGCAGTATACATTATTTATCCCATCTTTCTCAGTTTCCCCCCAACCCCGATGTCAGTCCTGAGTTACAACAGTGGCACTATGCAGTATTTGTTCCTTTGTGACTAGACATTTCACTCAGCATAATGTCCTCCAGGGTCACCAATTTTGTATAATATTTCATGAGTTCCTGGTTAAGAATGTAGCATAGTATTCTCTACCCATTCATTTGTTGATGGGCACTTAGGCTGCAACTCTTTACTATTGTGAACAAAGCCTTCATAAACATGGGTGTGCATAGATCTGCTTGGATGGCAGTTCTGGTTTCTTTGGGATATATTCCCAGTAGTGGAATTTCGGGGTCAAATGGTATTTCTATTTGCAACTTTTTGAGAAAGTGCCATACTGCCTTCCTTAGTGGTTGCACCATTTTATACTCCCACCAACAGTGAATAAGGGTTCCAGTTTCTCCGCAACTTTGCCAGCATTTGTTGTTTGCTGTTCTGCTAAATTTTGCTATTCTTACTGGGGTGAGATGGTATCTCATAGTTGTTATTTGCATCTCTCTTAGAGCTAGGGATTTTGAACATTTCTTCATGTGTTTGTTTACCATCTGAATGTCTTCTTTGGTGCTGTGTCTGTTCATATCCTGCATCCATTTTTCAATTGGTTTATCTTGTTGTGGTGCTTGAGTTACTTTATAAATTCTAGATGTAAGTCCATTATCGGACATGTCATTTACAAAATACTTTTTCCTAGTCTATGGCTTCTTTTTTACCCTGTTTGAGATGATTCTGGATGTGCATAGGGATTCTATTCTTTGAAGGTCCCATTCACCTATTTTATCCTCTCCTGGTTGTAGATTTTTTCCAGGATGCTTGGAAAACTGTTTATGTTGTGAATTAGGACTTCTGATGTTCTTCCAAGCTTTTCTTTAATGAAGTTTATAGGTTTTAGACTTAGGCCCATGATCCATTTTGAGTTGGTTTTTGTGTATGGAGATAAAGATCTTAAGTTTTCCAATTTTGACAACACCATTTGTTAAAAAGGCTGTCATTTCTCCCCTTAACGAATTTGATCTTGTAAAAAAAATCAGTTGTCCATAGGTAGATGGGCTGATTTCTGTTTTCTCAATTCTATTTCATTGATCTATGTGTCTGTCATTATACCAGTACCATGCTGTCTTGACCACCATGGCAGTGAAGTAGGATTTGAAATCAGTGAGTGAGATACCTCTTTCCTTGTTTCTCTTTTTAAGAAGTGCTTTGCTTATTTGGGGCCTCTTTTCATTCCAATTGAAATTGGAGATTGCCTTTTGTTGAAGAATGGGATTATTATTTGTATTTGGATTGCATTGAACATGTAAACTGCCTTGGAATATTGCCATTTTCACAATATTGAGTCTTCCTATCCATTAGCAAGGAATATTCTTCTACTTCTCCAGGTCTCTTTTTGTTTCTTTAGTAATGTTTGGTAATTTTCTTTGAATAGATCTTTTGTGTTTCTGGTTATACTTACTCCCAAGTAGTCAATCTTGTAGTTAGCTATTGTGTTGGGTATTGTTTTTCTCAGTTCCACCTCTGTATTCTCTGTCACTATAGAGAAATTCAACTGATTTTTGTATGTTGATCTTTTATCCTGCCACTTTAGTGAATTGGTCAACTATGTTCAGTAGTTTTCTGAGTCTCTAGGGTTTTCTGAAAATACTATCATATCATCTGCATAGAGAGATAATTTTACTTCCTCTTTGCCCATTTGGATACCTATTATTTCCTTCTCTTGTCTTATTACAATTGCTAAGACTTCCAATATGAGTAAGACAGGTGATAGTGAGCATCCTTGTCTACTTCCTGTTCTCAAAAGGAATGCCTTTAATCTCTCTCCACTGAGAACAATGTTGGCTCTTGGGTTTTCATATTTACTTTTTACTATGTTGAAGAAATTCCCCTCTAATCCTATTTTGTTGAATGTTTAATCAGGAAAGGGTGTTGGATTTTGTCAAAGGCCTTTTCTGTATCAGTTGATATGATTATGTGGTTCTTGCTCTTTGCTTTGTTTATATGATGAATTACATTAATTGTTTTTCTTATGTTGAACCATCCTTGCATACTTGTTATGAATCCCATTTGGTCATGGTGAATTTTTTAATTTTTTTTTATACATTCTATTGGCTAGGATTTTATCCAGGATTTTTGTATCTATGTTCATAAGGGATATTGTCCTATAGTTTTCTATTTTGGTGTTGTCTTTTCCTACTACTTAACTTTTTAAGAACATTTTATGTTGGCAAGAAAAAGGAAAATTTCAGGCATATGCTTTTCAATAAAATTCTAACATTAAGATTAGCAAACAAATCAAGATTACAAATATGAATACTGAATATATGTATATATATATAGTTGAGCACAGTAATTTGTTTTACTATATACCAAGTTAAATGAGTCATATTTTGGTAATCTGGTACCTTGCCACTGCAGCTACCACAATTCTGGCAGCTAATTCTTTGTAATACTCGGTTCGGACAATGTTACAGCCGTAGTGACGCCTGGCAACGTGTTGCGCCTTGGCATATAAAGAACTTATATCTGTAGAAGTCACTGACACTATGCCAAGGTTTCTTATATTTCTGAAAGCAGAATCTAGATAGTTCACTGAGGTTCCAAAAGGATCTAGGTGTCTGGAATAAAAGAGAACATATATATATATTGAAATCATATCAACAATAAAAATTACATCACTGTAATTGCTACTAACAATAAAATGCTATGTACTAAAAATAATTTTGCTAAGTTATGTTAGAGAAATAAGAATTCTTTTAAAGTAATGTATTAAAATATTATGTCAGATAGGCAGAAAGAAATCAAGAAAAGTGTCATGTCCAAGGATTTTATCTAAGATTTTAGAAAATTTTCTCACTGCTTCAAGTCAAACCGAACAAGTGTCTTAAATAAAACAATAAAACAAATGAAACACAGTCCCCAACTTTTAAAAAACAACAACAACACCCAACAAAACCCACGTGTAAGAAAATCAAGCACAAGAAAAGTAGATCTGTTTAAAATGACAAAGCAAGTATTTTTCACTTACATGAAATCAAAAGATCTCAAATGCATCAGTACATTGGCATCCATTTTGGTCACCTTAATATTACCAAGGTTTTCATCTGCTTCTTCAAGATCGTCATCACTCTTTTCCTTACTGTCCACCACTACTTTTAATTTGTTTAAGTGGCAGTTTTCCTGAATTAATGTCACAGAGTTTTCATTCAAGTCATTAATTGTAACTTTTACTGCATGTCCAAGATGTTTTGCCCATTGTAATCCCATTATCCCTTTGGAGAGATGGGGAAGAAAATGAGTTTTCAAACTGTACTAGCAGTAAAAACAAATCACGCAAAGAAGAATTTTTTAAAATAGGAACCCCAAATGGTTTCAAAAAAATTTTAGTATTTTCATGAATAATTCTAATTCTACCTTCTGATTAGAATGTTTCTCCAGAAAAATTACCAAAATAAATTTTGGAATTTAAAGTTAAAAATAACAGTATTGCTTATTTATATTGTCACACAAAAAAAGGAAGAACTACTTGGGTATAAGAATAGAAAAATATGCACCAGCCCAATAGAAGGAATATAATAAAATTCCGATAAAGGAAATTCAAGAAAATATAAATAGGCTTATACCCCATGCTCATGAAAACTTTTAGTTGCTAGTGAATTCGCTCCAGTTAATGGAGACCTTATGTGCAACAGAACAGTGACCAATCCTATACCACGTTCATGGATGTTGGCATGTCTGAGTCCTTTGTTGTGACAACTGTACAGTGTCCTTAAATATAAGTGGCTCATCTTGCAGCACTAGATTAGACAATAATCTGTGATCAGTAAGGTTTTTATTGGCTCATTTTCAGAAGTAGATTGCCAGGTCTTTCTTCTCAGTCTGTCTCAGTCTGGAAGCTCCGCTGGAACCTGTCCACCATGGGTGACCCTGCTGGTATTTGAAATACCGGTGGCATAGCTTCCAGCATCATAGCAACACGCAAGCCACCACAGTACGACAAACTGACAGACAGGTGGTGGGTTCATGGATAATATTTTCTGGTATTAAGGTAGCCATTCTTTCCAATAAGATCTTGAAATTCAGTTGGGGCAAGATATTTTGTGAGTATCAACAAACTAATTCTAAAGTTTAAAAAAGCAAAAGATCCAGAGTAGCCAACACAATTCTGAAGCTGGAGCACTGTGTGGTTTCAAGACTTACTGTATAAAATTACAGTGAACAAGACACAGGCATAAAAAAAATCTATAGAACAAAGACCACACACAGACACAAACAAACATAGTCAACAGATGTTTGGTAAGTGAAAGAATCAAGATTAAAAAAGCAACGTACTTTATGATTACAACTATTTAACATTCTGGAAAAGGCAAAAGCAGAGAAACATCAAAAACATCAGTTTTTTCCAGGGGAGATAGGGGAAGGAAGGGAGACTGAAGAGGTGAAATCCAAAGAATTTTTAGGGTAGTGAAACTACACTCGTTTGGTAAAAAAAGGACAATATGTATTTGTCAAAATTCATAGGACTCAATAACACAAAAGTGAACTAATTTAAATAATGAGTTTCGATTAGTAATAATGTATCTGTACTGATTCATCAGGGACCTCCGGTGGCCTAGTGGGTAAGAAGTTGTGCTTACATCCCAAAGGCATGCAGTTCATATCCATCAGGTGCTCCCTGAAACAAAGATGGGCAATCTCCTTTTGTCTGACTTACAGCCTCTGAAAACCCGCTTGAGCGTCAGTTATGAGTCACTTCTGACTTAATAGCAATGAGGAGTAGTAGTCCTGACTTAATCAATTATAACACACATGTGTCATACAAACATAAGATGTTACTAAGAAACAATGTGCAGGAGGAAAAGTGGATATATGAGAACTCTCTGTACAACTTTTATGTAAACTGAAAGCTGCTCTAAAACCAAGTTTGGGAAAAATATGCCCAATGTATTTATTATCAAGACTTATAAAACTTAAAAAGTATTCTTTTTCAAATAAAATAGCAATATATGGTTATTATTTTGTGGAATAGTATGCTGTTTTCATTACTGTTTTTTCCTTTTTGTTGTAAAAAAACAGAACATTTTTACAAAATAAAGTCTTGAGGAGTAATCAAATACATAAAATAGTTAGAGTAAAAACTGTTCCTGTTGAAATTTACCTGCATGAACCAAAATGTTGAAAACAATTTTCAAATGGCATCATTGTGAATTACAAAGAACTTAAAATATATAAGCAAACAATCAAAACCAAGTGTAATGTAAACTCTCTCTCCCAGGCTTTCCTTCCATACCTACTAGAGTTATGAGAAGAATTCATTACAAAAAGTCCTGACACAAGTCTCTATATGTGCTACAAAAATAGGGGAAAAAAAATTTAGTATCCACAACTTCTTAATGGTTTTTAAATACACTTTCCCTCCCATATTTTCACAAGAAGTCCAGGAGATAAGTTTGAGTATTTGCATTTTTGGGAAGGTAAAACATATGAAATGACTGCGCTGTACCTGATAAATGTTTATACAGCGTACTATTTATCTTGTTACATAATTTATCATTGCTATGATGATTTTGGATGAAAAACAGAGTAGAGAAAAAGGGTTCTATGAAGGGAAAACAGTAAGAAGTAAGTTTGGATAAGTAAGTGGGATCATATTAAGGAGGACATGGGTCTGAAACATTTGTACTTAGGACATGAAGACGCATGAGTTTTATACTGAAAAATAACATTATCAGTGCAGTTCTTCAGAAGAAATGATGCTTAGTAATAATATGGAAATTAGACTGGTGGGGAGAGAAATGAACAGGAAACGGGATCAACTATAGATTACTGCAGTAAGTTTTTCCCACAATGAAACTGATACGGAATGCAAAAGGAGAATGAGTAATATTACAAAAAATATGAGAATAGATTTAGTGCTGGAGAAGATATAGAGACAATATAGGGAAAGGAGGATTCAAACTGATTAAAATTTCAAGTCTGAGTGGCTCAGATGTTTAGAAGTGTTGTCTTGTTACTTTTTACCATATTTATACTGATAATACTGATGATGAAAATAATAGTGGTACGACAGTAATAATCATATAGTAATGATGATACTTAATACTTTTTTTTTCACTACATATTGTCCTTCCCTTCATTCATCTAAGTGGTTGATGTTTTTCATTTGTTTTATAACATTAATTACCATTCATTTTTGAAAGTAATTACAAAGTCTAATCAGCACCGTATTGTGCACTGTCCATTTTTTTATACTTTAGAATTTTACATACAAAATTCATATACACTGTGTTACATTCATGTACACTGTATTTCATACAGTCCTTCATCGACATTATGTTTCATACAATCATTTTCTACACTGCGCTTTATAAAATTAATCATCAATAATCAATGTCCACTGTAACCCTGTCTTTTTTAGGTCCCCACAAGATCTATCCTAATTGCTTAAGATCCTCTCTGTGCCTGCCACTCCACCCTCAGACCCCTTGCCCATTTCCCCTTCCTCCTTTGAACTCCCCCCCGCACCCCAAACTTTTATCCATATCCTACCAGTTATCCTTTTATTTTTTAAATAATGGTCTTATGTAGTATTTATCCTTATGAGACCTAGTTAGGTCACTAAGCAGCATAATGCTTTCTAGTCTCTTCCGTATAGTTTTCAAAATGTTACTGCTGAATGCTGCATAGTATTCCATCATGTGAATATACCACAATTTCTCAATCTATTAGCTTTTTTATGGACATCTGGGCTGTTTCCATTTCCTTGCTTTTGTGAATAATAGTGCTATGAACATCAGTGAACAAATCTCCATTTGTGTCTCAGTTCTATTTTCCTTGGGGCATATTCCTAGCAGTGGAATAGTTGAGTCATATGGCATTTCTATGTTTAGCTATTATATTAAAACCCAGACTGCCTTCCAAAGTGGTTGAACCATTTTATAATCCCAGAGACACTGTATGAGAGTTCCAATCTCTCCACATCTTCTCCAATATGTATTGCTTGCTATCCTGTTAAACTTTGCCACTGATAGTGGGATGAGATGATTGCCAGTGATTTTGAGCATTTCTTCATGTGTATGTTGGCTATCCAAATTTCTTCTTTTGTGAATAGTCTTTCTGTTGTCTCTTGCTCATTTTGCAATTGGGTTATACATATTTTCCTTATTGAGGCCCTGTATTCTGTAAACTTTCATTATGAGACCTTTGTCTGAGATCTCACTGCTAAATATGTTTTTTTCCCAGGCAGTAGGTTTTCTTTTCACCTTTTAGTAAAAAGTTTTTGATGTACACATCAAAATGGGATATTCTCTAGAATATCTCATTCATCAATATTATCCTTTCCTGCTTATGTATTTCTGGCTGTATTTGAAGTCTATTTGTACTACAGGCTAACACTTCTAAGTTTCATTCCATTTTGTCTCCTATGATCATCATGGTTTGGGGTTTTACTCCTTCCTAGGTCTCTGTCATACCTTGAGTTGATTTTTGTGTATGGTGTGACAGAAAACTTCAGCTTTCTGCAATTATATGTCTAGTTTTGCCAGCATCATTTGTTGAAGAGGTTGTCATTCCCCATTTAACAGGTTTTGTTTCCCTGTCGCATACCAGTTGACCATAGATAGATGGATTAATTTCTGGGTTTTTGATTCTGTTCCATTTCGTCTATGTAATTTGTCTTTGTACAAATACTATGCTGTTTTGGCTATTACAGTTTTGTAGTAGGTTTTGAGATCAGGGAGTGCTATGCCACCCACTTGATTTTTCTTTTTTCAGAAGTGCTTTGCTTATTCTTGTTCTTTGCTATTCTTATTCTTTCCCTTCCCAATAAACTTGCCAACTGCCTTTTCTAATAAATACTTTTATAACACCTGCTATGAACCAAGTATTATTCTAACTTTTTTCAGGAGCAGATCAACTGTTCTTTTCTCTCAGAGGTCTGATGTGTGGGTTTGAATCAATAATCTTTCAAGTACAAGCCAAGTGTTTAAGTGTTATGTCACTGTTTTTGTTGTTAGGTGCCATCAAGTTGCATAGATTCACAGAAACCCTATGAACAACCTGTAAGAAAAGTTATCCTGTACCATCCTCATCATCTGACACAATAGAGCCCATTGAGCAAATAATTTTGTCAATTCATCTCATGGAGGGGGTGGGTGGGTGGTATTTCTCCCCTTCACTGACCCTCCTTCATCTTTCCAAGCAGGCTGTTCCTTTCCAAGGAAAAGCCTAGCCTAGCAATATGTCCAAATAACGTAATACAAAGTTTTGTCATCTTTGCCTCCAATAAGCACTCTGGCTGCACTTTTTCTAAATCTATCTGTTAATTCTTCAGGGATATTCAGTACTCTTCTCCAGCATCACAACTCAAAGGCATCAATTCTTCTTTTGTCATCCTTCATTGTCCAGCTCTCTGATTAACAGCCAGTTACTGAGAAGATCATGGCTGAATCAGATGTACCAGTCTTCAAACTGACACCAATATTCTTCATAATTTTGGAGAGGTTCGTGACAGCGAACTCCCCCAATGAAATGTCTCCTGAGTTCCTGACTGTGGTATCAAGGGTGTGGCTTGTTGATCCAAGCAAGATAAAATATTGAAAACTAAAATCCTTTTCCCATCTATCATAATGCTGACTGTTGGTCCTGTGGTGAGGATCTTTGTTTTCTTATGTCACTAATAGTCCTTTATTCTAAGACATTGTTGTTGTTAGGTGCTGTCATGACTATAACTCACAACAACCCTAAGAAGAGCAGATCTGAATCCTGCCCTATCCTGAACCTTACTCGAGAGGCTGCTGTTGTTATATACCGCTTGGAAATGGTTGGAAATGACCCACAGGTGATCCTTCAGCAGGTTTTCAGGTTCAGTAAATCTCACAGGAGATTTACTTTACCCATCTTTTTCACATGGAGCAGCCAGTGGATTAAAACTGCATGACTTTGAGTTAGCAGTACTCTTCCTTACCCCTAAGCCACCAAAAGCACCTACTGTGTAAGAAGTACTATTATTCTATTCTTTTGAATAAGAAATTGAGGCACAATTTCCTGTGGCCACAAATCTGACATATGATGAAATTATGAGTTAAGCTGAAGCAGGCAGGTTCCACAGTACATGTTATTAACATGCTTTTAATATATAATTTTTATATAACATGCTTTTAATATGCTATTAATTCCCTTTTCCCTGAGAATAGTATAGGAAGAAGAAAGAATTGAGCAATGCTTTTAATCCTTTTGATACAGGCTTTCTGAGAGTATTTTCCACAATATTTAAGAAAGGTAAATGGATGTAAGAACATTTTTAGAACATAGAATCTACCAGCTGCTCCACTGGAGAAAGATGGGCAATCTCCTCTCATGTGATTTACTGCCTCTGAAAACACACTTGAAGGTGAGTTATGAGTTCCTTCTGACTCAATGGCTCATAATAACCACAGAGATCATGTATTTTCTGATTAAAGTGAACCACTCGTCATAAGCTATTCTTTCTTTTAACTCCTCCTTCCAAAGTTGTATCTGAATCTGATAAAATTGAAGATCTGTTCACAAAACACTTACATGTTATATCAACTAGGAAGATATAATGAGCAATAATGTAAACTGAAAAGACAAATGACCTGCTAAGTAAATAACAACTGCCAAAAAACCCCAAAGAAATACAGAAAAAAAGAAGTGTAAACAATTTTAAAAACAACTAATCAAAAGATAGTTTTTACCTGGATTCTAATTTAAACTGTTTTTTAAAATGATGAGATAACCAGGCATATCTGAACATTTGATGATAGCAAAAAAAAATTACTTTTAAGGTATGCTGCTAATGGTCTCAAACCCCACTGCTGTCAAATTCATTCCAATTCAGAGCAATCTTACAGAGCAGAGTAATGTTGCTCTGTCAGGTTTCTGAAGATGTAAATCATAATGAGGAAGACTGTCTCATCTTTCTCCCAACAAGCACCCAGATTCACACTGCAGATTTTTCTGTTACGGCCAACATTTCACCCACTATACCTAGGACGTCTACGATCATATCAGTTTTATTTTTACAAGGACTTTACATTTTCAAGGATCCCTGGTGATGACATGGTTAAATGCTCAACTAAATGCCCACCATGGCTAAAATACTAAGTGAAAAGCAATTTGAATCTACTAGTCATTCTGAAGAAGATGCAGTAGTCTGCTTCGGTAAAGATTTACAGCACTGGAAACTCCATGGGACAGGTCTAGTCTGTCTTAAAGGATCACTGTGAGTTGGAATTAATTCAATGATAGTGGTTTGATTGGGCTGTCTTTCAAAGATCAGCTGAAATATTTATAGATGATATACTGTCTGGGATTTGTTTCAAAATAATAGTGATAGATGAATAAAGCAAAGTGCATGGGGGAGTACACAATAAACAAAATTAAGCATGTATTGATAATGTTTGAAATAAAAGAGATGGGTGCATGAAGATTCATGTATTATACTTTCTAAAATTTTCACCTTAAATCTTTACTTTTTAATTTAAATGTAAGATTTCTAAGTAACCTTGCTTTTTTAAAAAATCAAAAACATTCTGTTAGATATGATATCCATACAGATTTCCTAGAAAAATATACTGCACAAATCTGATAACATGAGATTCTAAAAAAGCATTGTTACTTACCAGTGGCTCCGAAGGCATCTAGACATTCCAAAGGTTTTCGTTCCTCAGTCAAAGCAGCCAATGTACAAAATATTAGCTGCCTAGAAGAAAGTGTAATGATTGAAATAATTTTGCTATCTCATGGCCTCACTATTGTGGGTGATTTTATTTCATTCAAAATAGAAGTGGGGGGGGTCCTATTAACTCTTATAAAACTATTTTATAAGAGATTAAACAATGTATTTCTAATTTATTTTGCAGTACTAAAAATTTGTGAAAATGCCAAGTTAACTGGGTTCGATGAACTATCATTCACAAGAAATAATAACTTTATAAATAAACCTTGCCCACAAGACCACCAGTTGGCTCGCTATTTATATAATGTTATGATTTTTTTTTAAACTCTGAGAAAGAAGTTTAAAAGAGGAAGAGTATGAGAAAAAAAGGAAATAATCATTCTGAAATTACAGTAAAGCAGATTATTTTTTTCATTGCGTGCCTACTTTTAGATTTTAATACCTATGAGCATAAAGGTTAAGAAAAACTACTTATGTAATGACTGGAAATACCCCATAATCCCCTTTTCAACTTATCTTACCGATTTAGTTTCATTTTTGGATTAAAATAAGAATCTGTTTTCTGAGGTACAGAGTAATTAGGACAAACTTGTACATCTGTGTCTGCTTCTTTCAAAATTTCATTAGATGGTTTAACAGCAGAAGCTAAGTTGGGGAAAAGAGATTTTCAAGGAAATATAAATCTACACATGAAAAATAACACACATTTTGAAAAAAATTTTTACAATACTTTGTATTAATACAGTTGGATACAAAATTAAAAATTAATTTCTTTGCATTCACCCAGTTTTCAATGAATGAAAGTTTATTATCTTAAACTCTTGGCTGCCTCAAACACCAGTACATATGTATTATATCTAATCAATAAGCAATCTAAGATCACGTAAACTATTATATCTAAGAATAAATAATCTAAGATAACATAAAGCCTTTTATAACTCATAAAATACTGTATTCTTATAAACTCAAAAATATAAGTATCTCCAAGGTTAACCTTTTTCACACTAAGTTCTGTGGGAAAATTTAGCTCTACAGAAAACTGTTTCAGGAACTATTTTTTTCAGTTATTAAAAGAATGGTACCATTCAAGATACAAAAGAGATAAATGAATTCTTCACATATAATCAATGTTTTAGGGCACTAAGTCTTAATTCTTGTTAAAGGCTGCCCAAGTAATAACAAATTCTTAATGATAAGTAATCATTAAGAATAGTAAGTAGCTTTCTTAATTTTATCTTGCCTTCTTTTTCCTCCCCAGTGTTTATCAATGGTATGTGTAACACAGTGATCAATGTAGAAGCTATCATTAGGAATTAACATAATTTATAACTTCTCATTAAGATACCTGTTTGTCATTTGCTTTGTTCTGTTCTTATTAAATATATTTGCTGAAAGACAATTGAATGTTAATGTTGCTGCAAGTCTCATAGAAAGAAAATAAAATTTGAAGTAAAATATCAATAGTAAACAAAATGATTTGGTTAAATCATTGTATTTTATCTGCTTAATGTATGACAATAAAACCCCTATTATTTAAAGATTTCCAAAGTATTAGTAAGACTGACTCAACTTACCAGCAAAATACCTGGATTTAGTCTCTCCTTTATTCACATGACGTCTAACATGACCTAGCATGTCAGTTCTTCGCGTAATTGTTGCTGAACAAATGATGCAATGATAATGGGCACCCATTTTACTGGATATCTATTACACAGAATATTTAAGTAAATACGTTGTTAAGACATGAATGCTGTTGTACATACATGTGGAAATTTAAGTATATTAAGATGTCTTGGCTTTTATAGTGCATGCTATTGTTCTTAGGTGCCATCAAGTACAACTCTTAGTGACCCTATCAACAACAGATGTGAACCCAGTCTTTGTTTTTTTAAATTATTTTTTTTGTGTGCATGTGTGTATACTGTCAAATCAAATCCAACTGGTACAGGAGGAGATTGCCCTTCCTTCTCCAGCAGAGCATCTGGTGGATTTGAACCACGTGCGTTAAGGATTGAAGCACAGCTTCTTGCCACTAGGCCACCAGAGCCCCCCTGAACCCAGTCTTATCCCATGCCATTCTCACAATCTCTACCTAACACACTCAAAACCATTGCCATAGTCACTATGTCAATTCACCTGGTTGAAGGTCTGGCTCTCTTTAGCTGCCCCTCCAGCTTTCCAAGGATGATGTCCCTCTCTAACAAAAACCCTCTCTTAGGAACATGCCCAAAGTGGTACTTTTGCCATATAACTTTAAAAAGATCTTTACTTACCTGTATTTATAATTTTACTTTAAAAATAGGCCACAAGTTTAACTTTGCAGTTTTTCTTATTCACTCTAATCAGCTAGTAATTATAAAGTATTTTCAACAAGCAGCAATTACAGATGGTAAATGCTTATCAGCTGGCTCTTTAGAAAAATAAACCTTGATTTGCTGTATTTGTAGATTTCTGGTATATAAACACTTTCATTGAGGTTAATTTCAAAGTACAATTCTGACAAATTTCATGTGATCAATATGATATCATAAGAGAATTTAGGAAGAGATGTATAGTATCATATTATGGAACATTTCTACTCAGAAAAAAGTACAGACATTGATTCTTCTGCTGTCCTTAAGCACTGCCCAATTCTCAAATGTATAGCAAGTGATTGAAAAGACTTGACTCAATCAGGTGCACCATAGTTTATAAACTGACACCATTGCTTCTCAGTACTTTGGAGAGGTCTCTGCAGACTTTTCTGATGTAATATGTCTTTAGATTTCTTGACTGGTGGTACGAAGGATCCGACTAAGTGGAATTACTGACAATTTCAGCCTTTTCTCCATCTATTATGTTGCTGCCTCTCAGTCTGGTGGTGAAAATTTTCGTCTTATGTTAAGATGTAATCCATACTGAAGTCTTTGATCTTCTGCAACAAACATTTTAAGTCCTCCTCACTTTCACAATAAAGTGTTATCTGCATAACGAAGGTTGCTGATGAGTGTTCCTTCTATCCTAATACCATTCTTCTTCGTATAGTTCAGCTTCTGGAATGATTTACTCAGGATAGAGAATGAATATGTTTGGAGAAAAGTTAACAGTGCTGATGAACAACCTTCTTGATTTTAAACCACGCAGTGGTCTCTTGCTGTTTGGACAATAGCATCTTGGTCTAGGTATTTAGTGGCTGCTAAAGGGCTCTGGTCACCTAGTGGTTAGGTAGTTAATACCCAAAGGTAGGTGGTTTAAATTCACTTACTGCTCCAAGAGAGAAAGAAGGGCGATTTCCTCCTGTGTGAGTGATAGACTCTGAAAGTCTGCCGAAGGGTCAAGCATAAGTCAGACTCTAAAGTAATACAACAATAAAAAATCATAATAGAAATTTATTAAACTAGTATATATGTTAAGGATTTCACTGCCAACAGAAGCAACTTAAGAGTTGACCTTCCATTTGGTTTCTGAGGCTGTAAATCACCTGGTAGGAGACTGCATACCTTTTTCCTGTGGAAAAGTTGGTGCATCTTAACTGCCAGAAAACTGTGGTCTTTAGGTTAACACCAAAACTCTGTGGGCTAGACCATCATTACTCCCTATATTCAGGATACCATTAAGAAATATTTTATTCTTTGTTTTCCAAAAGGTTAAAACTCTTAAAAATGAACCTTTGTACTTTTTCTTTTCTTGCTGTGTACCATCAAGTCGGATCCAACTGGCACAGGAGGATATTGCCCCTCCTTCTCCAGTGGGGCATCTAGTGGTTTCAAACTGCATGCCTTTGGGATTACAGTACAGCTTCTTGCCATTAGGCCATCAGAGCTTCCTGAACATTTGTACTTTTAAAGTACTTGTTATTCTTTATTATATCCTATGTAAAATTAAACTTAAGAACAACTTGGGTAGGAAGAGTACGAATCAAGACATAAAAGGTGAATCTTAAGCTACAATCCCAGCCTTAAAGCAAGCAAAAATTGTACTTTCTTTAAAGGGGGTTAAGTAGGGGTGGAGCTCATTTGTGATTACCTGTTCTCCAATAATATTTGGTTTTACTGGTCGACAAGGTAAGTGACAGATGCACATCCTGTAACCTAGAACAAAAAAATAGCTAGTTGTTTATCATTGTCCACTAAATAATCAGATACTTAAAATGTTTGCTTATAGTTTTTAAAAATCTAAATAAAGTATTATAAAGTATTATTTTTATCTCTGGCCAATCTGACAGTTGTAGAATAACGTCTTTTAAAATTTACACTTTCTTCCTCTTACCAAAACCATTTATGGAAAATAGGAACTGCATTGGAACATGTATCTCTGGACTGGAAATGATCATATTGTTAATATTTCTAGCCTCAAGCTTAAAAGATTATAATGTTCAAAATTATCTGTTATACATTTGTTTAAGTTTTTTCCTCTTTTAACAACTGGGATCTAGAGGGAAGAGAAAAGAACAGAGAATGGCCAAAATTATTGGGGCAGCTATTGCTGCCAGTTTAGGGCCTGTGTCAGGAAAAGGAAGTCTTACTTATATACAGTGC